ACGGCTTAATGCGGTGGCTGCATCACGCTTTCCACTTGGGCGGCCTGACAAGGTCACAGGACATTCCAGGTGCCTCCCTCCCATCAACAACAATGGGCTTTGGACCAAGGCACTGGGATTTGGAGCACAGTCATGTGACTTTCTAATTTCCTACCTTAAAAATAGTTGCTGTCACATCTGCCAACCCACGAGCTAAGACTTTCCCTTTCTCTGTGAGTTATCCTGGGGGCCATGCAGCTGCTCATAGGGAACAGGCGGATCTTAGTTTTTTTTTTTTTTCTTACAGAAAGGTGGACTTTTTCTCCTGAGAAGGCTACTTCTGGGTAAATGCAGGTGTTCTAAGCTAAACCAGGTGATGGAACCATGCTGTCCTTGAGAGATTTTATATGTGTGTGTGTAATAGAATCCAGAAGAGGGTGTCAGATCTCCCAGAGCTGAGTTACATGTAGTTGTGAGTTGTGAGCCATCTGATCTGGGTGCTGGGAACCAAACTCTGCTCTTGCACAAGAACGGTATATTCCCTCTATCTCTCCTCTCCCTCCCTCCCTCCCTCCCTCCCTCCCTGTCTCTCTCTCTCCCTTCCTCCCTCTCCCTCCCTCCCTCTCTTTCTCCACCCTCTCTCTTCCTTCCTCCCTCTCTCTCTCTCTTCTTTCCCTCTCCCCCTCCCCCTCTGTTTTTTTTTTTTTTTCTGAGACAGGGTCTCTGTATGTAGTCCTGGCTGTCCCGGAGCTCACTATGTAGATCAAGCTAACCAGCATGTGCTCTCAACCACTAAGCCATCACTCTAGGGTGCCATGGTGGGCTTGACAACTCCCTGTCGCTGTCCCATTTTTGGCTGGTCAAAGCCGGTCCATATAGAACTCCTTCAAATGCCAGTCTTTTTTTTTTTTTTTTTTTTTTGGTTTTTCGAGACAGGGTTTCTCTGTGGCTTTGGAGGCTGTCCTGGAACTCGCTCTGTAGATCAGCCTGGCCTCGAACTCACAGAGATCCGCCTGCCTCTGCCTCCCGAGTGCTGGGATTAAAGGCGTGGGCCACCAATGCCCGGCTCAAAAGCCAGTCTTGAGGGTATCCTCTACACACATGGGAATGGTTTCCAACCCAGACATGATTTCTGGTCCCTTCCTCCCACTGCCAAATGCCTCTGCACAGAAATATTTGCCAGGCCCCATGCCCTCCCTGCCTTCCGTTTGACAATCTTCCCTTTCTCTGGGCCCCATCTCCTGCCGGGCTCACTTACACCTCTCCTTCAGGCTGGAGCACCAGTGCCTGGTTCTGCTGGGTGACCCCTCCTGGCTTGTACCCACCAGGGTTTATTTTATCTGTCTCTCCCACCAACTATAGTCTCTCAAAGGACAGAACTGTGAGCTCACCACTGTGTCTTCAGGATTTAGAACTGATGGTGGTTATATTTATTTATGGCCATTATATAATTGTTTTATATATTTAAGGACATAGCAATCCTTAATATTTCTGAGTGAGAAAAGAGGGAATAAGTTATGATAAGTGAGGGGAAATATTTTAGAGACATTATCTCATAGTGATGGTCAGTACTAGTGTAACCCCTTTGTTAGAAACGAAACTGTGGTGTTAAGTGACTTGGTAGTTTTAAACTGGTGAGGCACCCTTGAATTTGAATGTCTAGTTCTCTGGAAATGTACAGTTGCCCATTTCCTGTTCTGAAACAATTAGGAATCAAGGCAAACTCAAATTAAGTGTGCTTGGCTAGTTCATAAGTATAACTGTCTGGTTTTTTTTTTTTTTTTTCCAGATAGGGTTTTCCTGTGTAGCTTTGGAGCCTGTCCTGGAACTAGTTCTTGTAGACCAGGATGGTCTTGAACTCACAGAGATCTGCCTGCCTCTTAACTGTCTGTTTTATGCTTGTATTTGAACTTAAAAAAAGTTATCTTAAGATTTAAAGAAGACGTTCAAGAAACCAGATGAAGGAAGGCGGATACCACCCTCCTTAGAAAGAGTACATCTGGTATTTTTCTTTAGAAAAGGTTCCTACGTCAAACTTCATTAACTGGAAACCTTTAAAACTTGACTGGCGGTGGTGGCGCACACTTTTAATCCCAGCACTCGGGAGGCAGAGGCAGGCGGATCTCTGTGACCAATAAAACTCATCTAGATTATCCTCACAGACACAACTGAAAAGTTTTTGCACCCGATAAAGCCTGTCTATTGATGCAGCAATCCTAATCAGACCAAATCAAACTGAAATAGAAAAAACACCCCACATTTAATTGATATAACACTGCCGGATGATTTTTTTCAAACATCCCTCCGCCCAGAGGAGATGGAAAGAGAGACTGGAAAACCATGTGTATGGGTTGGGGGGACAGTTTAAACACCCTGCTGGAGGGGTCTTGAGCATCTCTGGGGGAGGGGCGTCATTTGATCCGGCTTTCTGAGATGGAGCAGGGTTTGGAGTTGGATGGGGGAGGGGGATTTGGAGATTCCACCGGAACATCCCAGACTCGTGTGTGGATGCCAGGGGCTGGGGCTGAGAGTCCCCCAGAACATCAGGCTTGGGATTCTGTGTCCTGTCAGGCTGACAACATTAACTGCTCTACCTCTTTTTCACAGTGTCAAATGGGAGGAAGGGGCAGCCCTTCCTGTGTCCGCTCTTGGTCTGGTGTTGGCTCTCCTGTTCTGTCATATCCATGGTCATTTCAGTTCTAGGAGGAGAAGAAACCGGAAACCCAACTAAACATCTCTTATACATTTTATTATTCTAGATTCCATTTTTCCTGGGGCCATATCATCGTTAAGTTTCAAACCGGGGAAAAATGGCTGCGGTGCCCGTTTAGCACGTCTCAAAGCAGACCTGGTGTCCGGATTCTCCTGGCATCCCGCAGTCCCTGCTGGTTACAGGGTATGGCTGGCAGACCAGTCCCCTTCCCCCAGCTGCCTTCCCTATAGAATCCAGACACACTGGTTACCTGGCTGCTGTATGGTTCCCCTCTCTCCCCTCTCCCTACCTGGCCCAGCTCAGGCTGGTCACTTTCACAGTGGACTCTCGAGATGTCCCTGCCCCTGGCTGTGCTCTCCCACGTAGCGATGATAAGCTTTCTCCACCTCCATGCCTAGGAGAGTCGTGTTGTTTTCTTTCTTTTTGTTTCTCTTTCATTCAGTTATCAGGTGTTCTCTCTGTTGATTCTTGCTTGGTTTGGGTTGGATTATGTAAATGCTAACATCCAATAAAATATGTATATACTACATAATATAATATGTTCCAGGACAGCCTCCAAAACAACACAGAGAATCCCTGTCTCGAAAAACCCAAAAAAGCCAAAAACAAAAACAAAAAAAGCCATTGGCTGGCTGTTTTCCTGCTCTGTGGTTTCTTTTCCTTTAAAAGATGTTTGCTGTGGGGCAACAAATGAGTTCCTGCTTGACTAGACTCCCTGCTGCGTCTGATTGTCTCTGGGATTCTGGGAGGCTGAGGAACTGGTGAGCAGGGCTTATCCTTCCTTGGACCCCAGCTCAGCCTTCCGTGGTTGGGCTAAGACCCTGCAATATAACATATACAATAATATATTGCATATGTGTTATAATAGTTAATAAAATCTTATTAATTTTACTAAAAACAACTGGGGGAAAATTTACTAGAAAATCCATAGGACTTAGTCCTGACGATGACCTCATGTGTCCCAGGATCACTATAAATGTGGCTCAACACAAACACAGGCTTTCAGAGTCACCGTGAAATATCTGAAGGAATTGGCTCCCCTGAGGGCGGGTGCACCTTCGGCTCCCCAATCTTCACCATGCTTCTCGCCCAGGAGGGAAAGCTCAGATTCTGGAGGAGAACCATCCAAACCAAGAGGGTGAGGAGGCTGGCAGGCAGGTTTGCCACCAAAGCGCCAGTCAGGGTGGATTCTTCCTGTGCTGCTGGCCTGTGCATGACCTGTGACCTTCGGGCTCTCAGCCTGTGCTCTGTGGAGGAACTATGGCTTCCGTTCACCCCGGGAGTCCAGGAGGCGCCAGGAAAGAAAAGGCCCACTGCCCAGGAGCTCCATCAGCTTCTGAGACAGGCAGGCTCAACCCACTTTCACAGGTGGCTCAGGACCCCAGGGAGGGAAGGTAGGCCAGGACATCTGTATTCACAGCGGGGCTGTAACAGTTCTTTCCCTGCGGGTGATGACGCAGACAGACTTTATTTTAGGACTTTCTCAAATTGTTCTTAGGTTTGGGAATTGGTTTCTAAAGAGAGTGTTGATGTTTTTATATACACACATATAGTTAATTCTTGAAATTAAACTATAATTACATTATTTCTCCTTCTCTTTCTGCCTTCAGCCCTACAAACCCCATCCTTGCTCTCTCTAAAATTTATGGCCTCTTTATCTTTAGCTGATGCTACATAAATATTCCTAAAAATGTAAATGCAGCCTGCCCAGTCATATACATACCTTGCTTGTATGGATATGATTTCCGGGGCTCAGATATTTGTGAGTGTCTTAGATTTGTCTGACTCACAGTTCTCCACGTGACAGCAGGCTATAAAACTCATTTTGAGCCAGGTGGTAGTGGTGGTGCACGCTTTTAATCCCAGCACTCGGGAGGCAGAGGCAGGAGGATCTCTGTGAGTTGGAGACCAGTCTACAAGAGCTAGTTCCAGGACAGCCTCCCAGAGAAACGCTGTCTCAAAAAACAAATTCATTTTGGACCAGCCCAGAGAAAGGGGCCGTAGGCTTTGTAGAAATTCTGAACAATAGATTCTCTTCAAGCAAGGCAATGTTGTTGTTTTTTTTTTTTACATCATCTTTCTGATTCATACGAAGACACAAGCTGTTTAGTCTTCCTGAGTAAGGGGCTGTTATGCCCTCTCCCCCATCTATAACGCTGCACTATGGAAACGGCAGATATTCTCTTTCCTGTGCACTCTCTGCCGGGACTGCCCCTCCAGACACCACACGCAGCAGTGAGCCCCAGCTTTCTGTGCTGGTGCAAACAGCAGAGCGGGGGTTGGGGGGGGGGGTGGGGGGTGGGATGGAGGGGGATGGACGGGAAAGTAGAAGGGTAATCATTGATGGGCTTTAATCCCAGCAGGCGGATCTCTGTGAGTTCAAGGCCAGCCTGGTCCACAGAGCGAGTTCCAGGACAGGCTCCAAAGCTACAGGGAAACCCTGTCTCCAAAACAAAACAAATCAAATCAAGGTAATTAATCTTGTTTCCTTTTCTCTCCCTATAGCGAGATATTCCAGGCAAGGCCATTACAGAGAACATCTTATCTCCTACAGTCTGCAGGCTGGGGTACTCCGGCATGGCCTGTTGTCTGGCTAGCCCTTCAAGCCATCCCAAGCGAGAAGGGCCGGCAGCTGGGGAGCTTCCTCGGCATCTGTCCACGGCCTTGCCCGCTGCCTCGGCCTCTCTTCTTTGTTTTGAGGCAGGGCCTGGCGCTCTTGTCCTGGTACCAAGACTTGCTCTCCAGCTGGCCTGGTACTTCCCGTGTAGCCCCGGCTGGCCTTGAACTTGTGGCAGCGGCCGAGTGCTGGGAGTTTAGGCGCACACCATTTGGGAGTCAGGCTCCTCAAACTCTCTTCATAGCTTCTGCCTCTTCCCTGCTGGGACCTGACTCCGGGGGGCCTTCCTAAGCCCCGGGTTACGGACAGGTTTTCCTTCTCTTCTCCAGTGTCTCCCCCGCCCTCCCCTGACTCCGCTTGCCCCCCAGGTCCACTGCCCGCTGGCTCCTTTTGTTTTTAAACTTGCAGGGTAGCGGCTCCTCCTGAGCACGGCTGCAAACACAGGTGGTGCTCACCTGCCTGTTGGTTTGAGAACTGAATCTTGGCTGATTGTCTCCGGGTGTGAGCGCAGGGTGTGCCGCTCTCTCTACCCTGTATCTCAGAGCATGAGCATCAGAGACGCTAACGGTGCAAGGCGCGCAGCTGTGCGAGGCGCGCAGCTGGGGATGAACGCGACCCTCCTGCCTGCGCTCTTCCTCCTCCAGTCAGTGGCGCACTTCTTCTTTTGCTGAACTTGACTTGAACTTGGAGGAAGGTTGGCGCGTTCTAAAAACAGCTAATGTGACTTCAGGGGTTTGAGCTGTAGTAGAGGGCTTTTTGCTAAGTCATTCATCACAGACACTCGACTGCCTCTGACTTGGAGCCTCTGTTATTCACTGTGATTCTAAAAATTACCCGTGGCTCCCTGAAGGGCTCGATTTTAGACTCGCAGTGTCTTGACAGTACGGGACTCATTTAAATCTAGAGCAGCAGGGACTTTTTTCTTTTTATATCGGAAATTGGAAGTAGGAATTACTGTACTTTGTTCCCTACACAACGGTGTAGATAAAGCTTTATCGACTGTAGGGCTGTGGCTGCTGTTGCGGAAACATTGTCATTCAATCTCCTTAGAGAGGGAAGAAGAGAGTTCGAGCCACAGGGTGAGATCCTACACATCCAGTTTCAAAAGCTGGCTGGGTGACAGCCTGGGCTTCCTCGGCTGTGAGGTAAGCACACAGGCATGAGGTCTTGGTGATACTTGGTGATTCAGCAGCTAAACCCGGCTTGACAGTAGCAGAGACCGCAGTGTCGCTTTGGAGAACGCCTGAGTCACTGTTACCGGCAGACTGGGGACAAAACTCTGGGTGAGAAAGACCCTGGAATGAAACCATGAGGCGGAGATGCCCAGGGCTAGGTTAGCTTGGGCCACTGCTTGGCTTGAGACCACACCCACACCCTCATGGAGCTGCACGCACACCCCTCTCCAAAGATAGCAATCAGGTCACTTTGACCTAGCTACTCTAAGTTAATTCTTTTTCTGTGACCAAAGAGCTTCTCAGAAACTATCTGGGGACCGGTGGCAGAGTGCTGAGCCAGTCTGGGCTGATTAGGTACACTTTCAATGGGTCATACTGTGTCCTCTAAGTGAACTTTTAGGGGAAAGCCCCTATTTGCCGTCTCATGACTAAGCATGATCGGGCGCTCGTATGATTAAAGCCAGACGCACTAGGGTAAAGGACAGGTACGGTGTACAAAGGTGAAGCCTGTTAATTAAAACAAGGGCCACCTATATCTCACCCTTAGCAACAAAGCCCTCCTAGGCCACAAAAAAGAGAGGCCCCAGGCTATGACCAGGTGTTCCGGAATGCTGGATCTCAGACAGTCCCTGCGTCATAGCAAAGTATGGACTCTGTTACTTAACTACACCCAACCTTGAATAAAATCCCCACGTCCCCTTACCTGTGGGCATATCTTTGAACAAGATACCAAGATCCTGGAAACACCACTCTCAGATAGAGACCATGGTCCGGACACTAGGGTAGGAAGCAAGGGACCATGGGTGGTGGTGGGAGCCTTCCTCGGCATCCGGTGGAGAAGGAGCCAGGGGCCCGACCCTTGGTTCTTGAAGGGCAGTGCTGCTTCTGCTTGTCACTACAGACCCTTCCTGAGGGCGGACTTGGATCTGAGAGACGCTGCTCAGACATAGACACTGAAAGGAGCCTAAGAAGTGTGGGGTCACCGTCTTTGGCTGAGCTTCTCTATGAGAAAAGCAAAAGTGACTGGTTTGGATATCCCCTGGCTGGAAGGTGACACACAGATTCCCGGTGGAGGGTCAGGAATGGTTGGCACTTTCCCAGTGCGGGGGAACAAGGGCTTTCTTGTTGTTTTCTGTGTAGAGTAGTTGGACTGACCTTGCTGTCACTGGGAAAATTAGGTCAATTAGCATTTATAGAGAGACAGCACTACACAAGTGTATCTCACACATTAGGTTATCAGGAAAAGGCAGGAAGGGATGTCGGGGTGCCTCTGTGGTGAGAGCACTCACCACACAAGCAAAGGACCAGAATGTGTATAAATGCCAGGTGAACCGGTGACCTCTGCTGTAATTCCAGCACTTGGAAGGCGGGGGATGGGAACCTTAGAACGAGCTGGTTAAGCCTGCCTCTGGGAGTTAGTGAGCTGCGGGTTTAGGAGAGACCCTGCCTCTGAGTAAGGCAGAGAGTCATTGAAGAGAATGCCTCATTATGTTCCTATTGCTGTGATAAGAGGCGATGACCAAGGCAACTTAGAGAAGAAAGAGTTTGCTGGGGGGCTTAATGACTTCAGAGGGCGAGTCCGTGGCCATCATGGTGGGAGTATGGCAGCGGGCAGGCATGGCCCTAGAGCAGTAGCTGAGATACCGTATTTTGAGACACATCTGTGAGGCAGAGAGGCAGAGAGCTAACTGGGAATGGCATGGGCTTTTGAAATCTCAAAGCCCGACCCCAGGGACAGACCTTTTTCTAAGGAGGCCACACCTCCTGATGCTTCTCAAACAGTTCCACCCAATGGGACCCACGCCTCGTAGCATATGTGTGGGTGCCAGAAGATAGGCCTCTGCTGGTCTTCCCTTCCACCTTCTCATGGGTTCCGGGGCTCAAACTCAGGCCATCAGGCTTGTGTGGCAAGCACTTTACCCCCTGGGCCGTCTTGCTGGCTTCAAGACAGGGCCTTGCTCTATAACCATGGCTGACCCAAACTTGAAGTGATTCTCTTGCTTCCGACACTCGCGTACTAGAATTACAGGCGTGTTCCAACATACTCACCTGATACGTAAGCCAAATACGGTGACACGTTACAAGTAAAACATTATTATTAATTGCAAATAAGTATCTCATGCCATATGTTTTCATACAACCTAATTTCGTACAATATGTTCTGATCAGTTTCCCTTAGTGATGGTTTGAAAGAAAATGTGCCCCCCAAAGGGAGTGGCACTATTAGGAGGTGTGGCCTTGTTGGAGGAAGTGTGTCACTGTGGGGGCGGGCTTTGAGGTCTCTTTTTCTCAAGCTCTCCTAAGTGTGGCAGTCAGTCGACTTCCTGTTGCCGGCAGGACGAAACACTCTTGGGTCCGGCACTGAGTCTGCCTGCACGCCGCACGCCACAATGACAGCGGACTGAACCCCTGAAACTGTAAGCGAGGCTCCCCGATGTAATGTCTTCCTTATAAGAGTTGCCATGGTCCTGGTGTCTCTTCACAGCAGTAGAAGCCCGGAGACACCCTTCCTTCATATCCCCCCCAATTCTCCCAACTCTCCCCTCCTCCAGATCTACACCTTCTTTCTCCCAAACACAATAAAGAAGACAAAGACAAAACAAAGTAAACGAAATAACAAACAACAAAAAAAAAAATCAAAGAAAGAGCATGGGGCTGGAGAGATGGCTCAGCGGTTAAAGGCTAGGCTCGCAAACAAACAAAAAAAAAATCAAAGAAAGAGCACAAAAAAGTGTGTGTGCATGGCGGATCTCTGTGAGTTCGAGGCCTGCCTGGTCTACAGAGCGAGTTCCAGGACAGCCTCCAAAGCCACAGAGAAACCCTGTCTCGAAAAAGCAAAAAAAAAAAAAAGTGTGTGTGAGCACATGCAGACAGACATACACACCCCACACGGACACACACGCGCCCATGCCACACACACAAAACTCACAAAAACCAAGCGAAGACCAATAAGGTAAGAACTGTCCAAACAAAGCATTATGAGACAAAGAAAGCATAAAAAAATACCTTTGAGTTCATTTTATGCTGGCCTTCTTGGCCGTCTACTGCTGGGCCTGGGCCCTGCCCCTTGGGTGTGGTTCATATGCCCGCTGAGACTCCCTTGGGGAGATTGATGTTTCCTTCGTGAGCTGTTGTTAATTGGAGATTCCTTCTTGGTTGGGGATGGGCACTTGTGTCTACTTCCCACGTCAGCGCTGGGACCTTGTCTGGTTTGGACCTGGGCATTCTATCCCAGACTCTGTGAGTGTGTATGCCTGTCAGTCCCGTTGTGTCCACGTGGCCGTGTTTCCCTGGCGTCCTCCATCCCCGGTGGATCTTACAGTCTTTCTATCTCGTCTTCCATAGAGTCCCCCTGAGCCCTGAGGGAAGGGATAGACAGAGACCCTTCTTTCTCCATCTCTGATGAGGGCCAGGTTCCATCTCCTGGAATGAGCCTTAAGTCCACTCCAACCAAACATTAAATAGAGATGTGTCCCCTAGACTCATGCTGCTGTCGGTCGCTGAGATCGGTAAAGGTTTGTTTGCTTGTTCGTTTGTTTTAATGTGTTTCCCAAACTGGTAATTGCCGCTGTGGAAGCTGGTTTCAGTTTTTCCCCTCAAATGTAGTTTCGACAAAACCCCAAACTAAAGTGCAAAACGTACCTCAGTGTCCACCCGGCTGGTGCTCAGTGTGCATCAAGTTGCTTGTTGTATTAGTCATGGTCTCAGCAGGAAATGATTCTCACTCTCTTCCAGGAAGATGAAAACTCCATAAACCCTTTGCGAAGTCACTGGCAAACAAGGAAACCAGGACAGGGGTGGAAAGGCCCAGGGCTAGTACGGTAGGGCTTGTTAACACCTTCAGGGCTCCCGGGGAGGTGAGAAGTCACCAAGTCACCAGATCCCAGAGGATGGCTGCATACATGCTGCCTTGAGGGGACAGACACCCGCAGGAGAGGGGCCCCGCCTCACCCCCTGAAGAGGTTAGAGGGGTGGAAACAAGTCCTCACTCTTCTCCTCCCCTCTGACCAATCTTCTCACGTCTCTGAAAGAAGGTCTCATCTGGATGAGATTGATGTCATTCCTTCAAATCAGCCCCCAGGGCAGAGAGTGGGCCTCAGAAGTAGAGGCTGAAACCACGAGGAACCAGCAGACACACCCCACCGCCCGCACCCCGCCCCCTGTACCCCGCCGCCTGCAGCAGGCGGCAGGTTGCGGGCTGCACCCCTGTCTTGCGAGCACAATAATGATGGCCAGCCAGTGTGGGTGGTAGGGCAGGGTAGGAGTCCAGGCCCCACTCACGTGCTCCCCTCTTCACCGGCTTTCCTCCTCTAGAGAAGGAAACGCTCCTGTCATCTCATCTTGCTTTAGGTCTGGAGCTCAGGGGTCAGGTTGAACCTTGTCCAGGCGGAATTTCTGCTGTCAGGGTCGGCTGCGGAGCCAGGATGAGTCCGAAGCTCCAGGAAGTGCAGCTGTTCAGGAGACTCACGGGCCAAGAGCTCTTTGGCTGTGAGTCAGGCTCTCAGGTCAAAGGGTTCCTCGGCAAGGACAGAAAGCGACAGTGTCCGGGAGTGCCAGGGGCAGCAGGGGCACTAACTCCAGCCCATGCACATCCAGGAGGATTCCTGCCCCGGCTTGAAGCCGCACAGCCGCAGAGAGCTGTGACTTGTGTGATGCGTTCATCCTGCCTCCCAAGCATCCGGCCCGACCCTCCTGGGATGCTCTGCTTTAAGAGGCTCTCTTAAAGAGAATTATTTTCACTTCACTGTGTGGGTGTCTTGTCTGTTTTCATTTATCTTGTGCCTGCAGGGTCCTCAGAGGTCAGAAGAGGGCACCAGGTCCCCGAGCACTGGAGTTACAGAGGGCTCTGAGCCGCCTTGTGGATGCTGGGGAATCCAACCCAGGTCCTCTTAACTGCTGAGCCAGAGAGCACACCCGTCAATCAAGGTGTGGGTGGCACACACACACACACACACACACACACACACACACACACACACACACACACACACACACACACACACACACACACACACACGCTTGCTGTGGCTTGGAGGTATTAGTGGCTGGGAATGGCTGCCACCTAGAAATCAGAGCCACCACAATTTGAAGCGGGTTGGTTATAAGTGGTTGCGTCAATCTCCGTTTCTTTTGCTTAGCTAGAAATTACAGGCAAGAGAGCAATGTAACAGCTTTTTCCCAGACCTCATGGACCAACATCTCTGAAAACCCTGGGCCTTGGGCAACCCTCTATCCTAAACCATCACTACGTGGCTGTGCTCAAACCCAGTTCCCTGCTTCTTCCTCTCTGCGGGGGTCACCTCACCAGCTGTGACAAAGCCTGACTTCACACCACCTTCCCCAGCGGTGCAGGCTGCCTCTCTGGGTTTCCTGATGCCCTGTCGTGACAAAAGCTGTTTACTCAGGGTGATGGTTGATGGGGCTCCACAGAGGTGAGCTCTTGGTTTTCCTTTCCTGGCTGTCAGAATGCTTGGTATCCTTGGTATCCTAGGCAACCAGGGGCACTCTGACCTCCTCTTTGTCTCTCTCCTGTCTGCTACAATAGTAGCTCAGTTTCCTTCTTTGTAGTTTTTCAAGTGAAGCGGCATCAGTTTGTGGTGAGAATAAGGCTGTCCGACATCTGTCAATAGGCTCAGTACCAGTGGCCTACTGTTGACCTGGGGATCTCCGATGGAACTGTGTGCCAGCAGGGACCTGGTTTCAACCCGGCTTTAACCCAGATTGCCTTGATGAGAACAGTACTTCAGCAAACCGTTTCAGTTTAAACGTGCTTGACTGCTGGTCTACGCTCCATCGGGAGCAATGGGCACCTTGCAAATCTGTCTCCCGGCTGCGATTCAGAGATCATTAAAAAAGAAAAAAAAAAAGTGAACATGTGTCTGTTACCTGTGGAGTATTCCACGGGACTAATTTCTGAAGTCATTCCCATGCTTCAAGACCCGTAATAAATTCACATAGTGGCACCTCAGTAATAAGGGGATTCCCTGTAGGAGCCCCACCTCCTGACCTCATCCCCCCCTCCCCACAACGTGCAGCGGCAGGAGGGGAGCCCTGGTCTCCGGAAGGTGCCCTCTGACCGCATGGCATGCATGTGATCTGTTTCTCTCAAAATGAAACAAAAACCAGAAGCTACCCACACAAACAAATCAGAATGAAAAGGCAAAAAGACCAGTAAGATTAAAAAAAAAAAGACAAAGTAAAATAAAACAAAAGCCCTCGAAAATAACATTTAGTTTATTTTGTGTCAGTCAACCGCTCTACTTAGTTTCTTTGTTTTGTTTTTCGAGACAGGGTTTCTCTGTGTAACAGGCGCGGCTGTCCTGGAAATCGCTCTGTAGTCCAGGTTGGCCTTGACCTCACAGAGATCCACCTGCCTGTGCCTCCTGGATGCTGGGATTAAGGGCGCCGCCACCACGCCTGGCAGCCATTCTACACTTTAAAAGTTACCCAGCCGACCTACTTGGCACCACCGGCCCTGTTTTCCCTCCCTCCTCTCTCCTACAACTTCTTTGAGATTCTCACTGGCATCCCATTCGCTCTCATCCCCCGCCACTCAGCCATAAACCCTGCCCTCTGCAGACCACACACACACACACACACACACACAGTTCAGATGTCGCTAGCACTGCTCTGGCGGGCTCCCGTTTCCTACCTTCAAGGCATCAGGGACGGCACAGACACGGAGGGCAGCGATGTTAAGGCAGGCTTCCCTGGACCATCAGCACCTGTAGAAACCCAGTCCTCACCACCTGTGCCTCTGTAGCCTCCAAATGTTGGGAGCGGGCCCACACCCTGTGGGATTTTTTTAAACGTGTTCTTCATGTGATTCCAATGCATGAAGAATTAGCCTTAAAATAAGATACTGTTCTTGCTTCCTCCTTTAGCCTTCTGTCTTGCCGACACTGCCAACACAGTTAGTTCACTCTGCTCTGTTCTCCCACCATGCGGAACCCAGGGTCCAATCTGGCCAAGTTTCCCTTGGCTCTGGGATCTGCAAAAGCCTAGAAGTCCACACGGCTGCTCACTGTCAAGATGACCCCCCCACCAGGCGCCAGGCGCCTCCTGCACCCCATGGCTAAACCCCCGGATGTGACGATGGACTTGGGCACACACACTCCGACATCACCAGCACGGGGGTGGGGGGCTCCAGCTGTCCTTTCTTCCCTCTCTCGAGGGAAGGTCCGGGAGGTCCAGCAAGCTGTGTTTGCATCCTTGTTTGGCAGTGAGGGAAAGCGGGTTTAAAACCCCAGACTGAGCCGGGCGTTGGTGGCGCACGCCTTTGATCCCAGCACTCGGGAGGCAGAGGCAGGTGGATCTCTGTGAGTTCGAGACCAGCCTGGACTACCAAGTGAGTTCCAGGACAGCCTCCAAAGCCACAGAGAAACCCTGTCTCGAAAAACCAAAAAAATAAAAAATAAATAAAACCCCAGACTGTCTCAGATGTCTTCTTTCCATGTCAGCTTTTTCCTTTTCTTTCTGGAAATAGCTCTTGTGTGGATTGGGTTATTAGAAGTTAGAGATTTCCGAGGGCAAGGGGAAGGCAAGGAGATATTTTTTTTTTTTTTTTTTTTGGTTTTTCGAGACAGGGTTTCTCCGTATTGTTTTGGAGACTGTCCTGGAACTCACTCGGTAGACCAGGCTGGTCTCGAACTCACAGTGATCCACCTGTCTCTGCCTCCCGAGTGCTGGGATTAAAGGCATGTGCCACCAACGCCCCGCCAAGGAGATATTTTTTGAGGCGACCCGGACCCTCCCCCCCTGTTTGTCACCAAGAACAATTCACCTGTGTAGAGGGTTTTTGCAGGATAGATGTCACCCTGGTGACACTCAAGATAGGGTTGAGGAGGGAAAGCCTACAGGTTAGCTTGGGATAAAGGGCACCTCTTTGGGATAACGTGGCTCTTTCCTGATGCCGACATGATCAGCTAGGTGGAAGCTAAGGGAGCACTGTGCTGTGGGTGGTGCCTCCACTTGAGGACCGCTAAGGGCTGGGGGTGGGAGGCGGGGGAGGGAACAGGACTGAAGTCTGGCGTGGACATCCCCTCTGGCACGTGGGGCCTGATGGGAAAGACCACTGTTAATTCTGGTGAGAGCGTTATTGCTTTGTTCTTTTGTTTAGACAGGGTTTTTCTGTGTAGTTTTGTAGACCAGGCTGGCCTCAAACTCACAGAGATCCGCCTGCTTCTGCCTCCCCTAGTGCTGGGATTAAAGGCGTGTGCCACCAGTGCCCTGCCTGACAGGGTTCTTGTGAAAGCTGGAATTTGTCTTCACCATATTTCTCTGACCTGATTCTGAACTTTGAACCTCCAAACCCATGAGCTGAATCCTCTCTCTTCTTTCTCCTCTCCCTCCACCTCTCTCTCCCTCTCCCTCTCCCTCTGTCTCTCCCTCTGTCTCTGTCTCTGTCTCTCTCTCTCTCTCACACACACACACACACACACACATATTCTGGGATTGGACCTCAGGTCTGGGATTGGGCCTCAGGTCTGGGATTGGGCTAGCATTCACTCTACCACTGAGCTACACACTACGCCCTTTAAATATCTGATTTTTGAGATAGGTTCTTTTTATCTTTTTCTAGGCTGCCCTCAAATTCTATATAAGCCCAGGCAGGCTTGAACTTGTGATCCTCCTGTGTAGCCTCAGCTGGCCTGAAACTCACTATGTAGACATGACTGACCCAGAACTCTTAAAGATCCGTTGCCTCTGCCTCCTGGTGCTGGGATTAAAGGCATGTGCTGCCCTAGTCACGTTCTGGGAGAATGATGCGTTGTGATTAAAAGTTAATCACACACGTAGGCTGTGGTGTCCACCTGGGTGCTGTGTAGAACTAGCCCCCCCACCTCTGAGATAGCTGAGATGTCTCAGTGGGTGGGGTGCTTGTCACATGAGCCTGGTGACCTCAGTTTGAGCCCTGGAATTCACATCAAGGCTGACAGCGAATTGACTCCCAAAAGCTGACCTCTGACCTTTACATGTACTCTGTGCTGTACCTGTGTCCCATCTCGCAAATACACTCAATATTGATAAATAAGAACAAATAGAAAACGTGGATTTTACATTTTTTAAATACATGTGACTTTTTTTTCTATTAAAAAATTCCTTTTGTATTAAGACATTCCATGGATTACTTCAGCCATACTTTCATAGCTTTCTCTGCCTAAGTAAAGTTTAGCAGGTTCTGATTGCAATGGCGTGTTTAGATTTCCTGTATTCTTAATAATAATAACAACAATAATAATAGATTATACATTATCATTAGTATCAATCATAGTTGCTATTAATTATCATTATCAATTACCAATGAACAACTATTAGTATTGCTATTGTTATTTTGCCTGTCAAAATATTCATTACTGAAAGGGTTGTTAAAATCCCTACCATGCTGGCTGTTTTTCCAGTCCCTCTGAGTAGCAGTGTCACTTTTGTTTTATATGTCTTACTTTTCGTTTTTGTTTTTATTTTCTAGGACTGGCTTATGTATTCTACACAACCTGTCCTCAAACTCGCTGTGGTGGCTGTGGCTGACCCTGAACTTCTGACTCTCCTCTCCCTGCCTGCCTAAATCCTGGGGTTATATAGAGCGTGGGCCACTACGCCAGGCTTATTTTGTGTATTTGGTTTAAATGTACTTATTTATGCACGCGCCTATGTGAGGAGGTCGGAGGACAACCAGCAGGAGGATCTTCTAAAACGAGGACCGCAGGGATCAGGCTCACAGCATCAGACTTGGCTGCCCAGCGCCTTTACCCAGTGCCTCTCATGGCTTTAGACATTTTAATGAGTGTTGTCAAGGACACGCAACCTCAGGGCCGTGGATTACCACTAACCGGTTTATCTTTGATGATTCAGTTGATCAGAGCTCATTTCGCTTTACATTAATTTTTTCATTTATATTGTGAGCGTTGGACAACAGCACTTAGTACGCGATTCCAAAATCTGTAATTTTTTTTTCCAGCACTCATATAATACCACAGGAAACCTTATTTTATTTCACGAAATCCCCCATGGCACATTGATCCGTGCAGAAAATTATTAGAAACACACACACACACACACACACACACACACACAGCACAGCACAATTGTCGTCAGGCTATCTGCAGGAGTGTATGTGTGTGTGTGTGTGTGAAAGGTCAGTGACTTTGACTTGGACCCCACCCCCACTCCCAGAGGTTTTGTTGTGTAACCGCAGACATTCTAAAAACCCTCCCCCAACAGCTGAAGCACACCTGCTGGTATTTCAGATAAGGGATCACCAACCTGCCTGCTAATACGAATACACCTGCACCGGTTTTCTTATTAGTAGTTCAAACAAATTAACACCAAATAGAGAAACCTGGGACAGCTCAGGACTGGAGAAAACCGGCACAGGCCTGCTTCCAGCTTGTACCCTTGAGGAGGCCACTTCGGTCTTAACTAGAACTGGATCTCCTAGGTGGAGAATTCCACGGGAAGACTACCCAGCTCCACCCTAGGAACCTGAGGTCAAGATGCCACCACCAGTTTATCTCAACTTCCTCCGTTAAACTGCCCGCTAAGTTCCCCCTCCCGCTAGCTGTTGTAGAAAAATCCTTTTGTACTGCTGCAAAGATTTGTCACTTGGATTGGTTAAATAAAAGGCTGAACGGCCAATGGCTAGGCAGGATTTTTTCAGGGCAGAGACGAGGCCTGGAAGGAGCAGAGTGGGAGGCGCCCACCAGCATGGATGAGGTGAACGAGCTCTGGGGCGGCATATAGATGAAAATAAACGGGTTATAATTTCAGCTACAGAGCTAGTTAGAAACAAGCCCAAGCTATCAGCACAACTTTCGTAATGATACGAAGTCTCTGTGTGGTTATTTGGGAGCTGGTGGGTGGGATAGAAAAATCTACCTACAGCTGACTAGTTATTTTAGCTTCTGTTAAACTGCCAGCTTGATCAACCCTCCCACTGCCTGCAGCTGCCAAGGGAGATGTCAGGGTGTGGTTTTTGCCTTTTAAAAACCCTTACTGTAAGCCGGGCAGTGGTGGCGCACGCCTTTAATCCCAGCACTCGGGAGGCAGAGGCAGGTGGATCTCTGTGAGTTCGAGGCCAGCCTGGTCTACAGAGGGAGCTCCAGGACAGCCTCCAAAACAATACAGAGAAACCCTGTCTCGAAAAACAAAAACAAACAAACAAAACCCTTACTGTATTCCAGGCGGTGGTGACACATGCCTTTAATCCCAACACTTGGGAGGCAGAGGCAGGCAGATCTCTGTGAATTTGAGGCCAGCCTGGTCTATGGATGAGCTCCAGGACAACCAGGACTGTTTTACAGAAAAACCCTGTCTCAAGAAAAACAAAAACCAAAATGAAAATAAAACATTTGACGGTCGCCCTGAGTGCAGCTCTGTTGGAATTTTTTGCTGCAGGGCATCGATGGTCTCCTTACAGCGCCCTCTGAGGAGGAACGCTGACAAGTAGCAGAGGCCTTTTAGAACCCCTCCAGGTCCTGGAGTAGAGGCTCAGCCAAGAAGGCAAGTATGGGAACCTCTGGGGGTGGTTGGATCTGGCTGGCTACAGATAATGGGATTTACAGCCTCAGATGAAGTCTGAGCAGAGGGGCCTTCAAAGCGCTGAAAAGGGCCCTGGTGTCCGGCCTGGCCCTCCCAGACATTGCTAGGCCATTGGACTTGTGCGTGGATGAGACCAGAGGCATTGCCTAGCGGGTCCTCCTGTAAATCCTGGGACCCTGGAAAAGACCGGTGGCATTTCTGTCCAGGAGACTTGGCCCAGTCACAGCTGGATGGGCTGGCATATATAGGGGCCATGTCTGCAACGGCTCTGCTGGTAAAAGAATTAACTCCAGGGCACCAACTGTCCCTGACAGCCCCACACTCGGTTGAGGCCTCTTGAGGGGAGCACCCAGCCGATGGCTGTCTAACACCAGTATCTGGATCAACCCTGCATTCATCCGGTTTTCACAAGACGCCAACCCTCCTGCTAGACGATGACCTTGCAGAACCCCTGCACGACTGCCCTGAGGTGACTGCCCTGAGCAGTCTACCAGGCTCGATCTGACGGATGTCCCCTAGGCAATACTAAATGAGGTACTGTCCATGGATGGGGGCTGTGTTGTCCCAAATGGGACCAGGTATGCAGGGTCAGTGGTGATGATCCAATGAGACTATCTGGGCACAATCTTTAAACAGGGGACCTCAGCTCGATGAGCTGGACTTCTGGCATTGACTCGAGCACGCT